TTATTTTATTTATACAAGAACCGGGGTACAGGCCAGATGCGCGGGAGGGTGAGAAGATTGACCAGAGACAGAGCGGGGAACAGAACAGGCAGACTGATGAAATACACTGCTGAGGGGAGCAACGGGCGAGACAGGAGAGATCTGCCTCTCTGTGTGGGACCCTCGCTGGCTGGCGGGGATCGAACCCGCACTGCAGAGGCTGTGGACAGCTTCACAGCGCTGCGCTCAACCGCCTGCGCCACCAGGGAGGCCCAAGTGAGCATTTATTATGCTCACCAGCAACTTTCAGAGTTATCTGTTTCCTTCAGAGACAACCTATGTTACTGCTTTACATTAAATTTTATTTATGAGTGAGTTCTTTTGGATTAGATGCACTAATTTTACCTCATGACATGATAGACTTTTGAAAGCTGAAGATCAGAAGATTGATTGATAGGACCAAGAGATAATTGTGCTGGTTTGCTAGAATTCACATAACTTGAATCAGTGTAGCTACATTTGTGAACCAGTGTCTGACTTGCCCCTCATTCTCTTGTAACATGCTGAAACCTAGAACTGGTGTAAGTTTATTATGGTCTTTGAATTAGGACTAACTCAGCAGGCTGGAAGATGTGAGGAAAGCAAGTTTCTAAGATTCAAGGCTTCATCCAGATTATTTTTCAGTTTTAAAATAGTTTTATAGAAAGTATATGTACTATTTAGTACAAATAATTGCTAATGTGTACATTTTGTGTAAATGAATCAGCTGACTCTAGAATCAGGATAAAGTGGGGAAAAAAGTATAGTTCTAGGTATATGAAAATATTGTTATTATTATTCTTACTATTGCCAAATGAAAGTTGGTACATTTTTAAATAACTGGTTTGCCTTTGTACAGAAATAGCAGAACACTGATAATATAGATTAAATGGTAAATAAAATTATAAAATGAAATCAATTATAATTGCCTATACTCACATATACATCATAGGTGCATGTGTGTACGTAAAACTTCATATAGATAGTCTTGCTTGGTCTACAGTCAGGAACTTGAAAGGAAATTTAAATCAGAAAAATTTCCCTGGATCTTAATAGCTGTGTGAATGTAAACAAAGTCCCTACATTTCTCTATGTTTTAGTCTGTGAAGTTAGAAAATAAGATCTGACATGCATATCATGAGGATTAACTGAAAACACATTTATTTTTTCTTTTCAAATATCATTGGTTTATAGCATAGTATGATTAGAACTATAGGGCCACAACTTTTATGTGAAGGCTACCACATCACACCCACCACCAAGTCACCCATAGTATTTTACCTCATTCTGTTTCCCTCTTTCCTCCACCAGCAAGCCTTCATCATAGTTCAATGGCTTTTTTTTTTTTTAAAGATTTATTTATTTATTTATACAAGCACTGGGTAGTCAGAAGCGCAGGAGGGTGAGAAAATTCACCAGAGCCAGAAAGGGGAACAGAACAGGCAGACTGACGAAATACACTGCTGATAGGAGCAGCAGGCGCGGCAGGAGAGGTTTGCGCGCCATGTGGGACCCTCCTCCGGTGGCCGGGGAGCAGCCAGGGATTGAACTGGCGCTGCAGAGGCTGCGGGCAGCTTCACAACCCAGCGCTCAACCGCTGCGCCATGGGGGGAGGCCCCAAGCGCAGTGGCTTTTCTTTTTTTTTTTTTAAGATTTCTCTCTCTCTCTCTCTCTCTCTCTCTATCTCATCTATCTGTCTATACAAGCACTGGGTACAGTCAGAAGCGCAGGAGGGTGAGAGAATACACCAGAGCCAGAGCAGGGAGCAGAGCAGGCAGACTGAAATACACTGCTGAGGGGAGCAGTGGGCAGCAGGAGAGGTCTGCGCGCCATGTGGGACCCTCCTCCGGTGGCCGGGGAGCAGCCGGGGATCGAACCGGCGCTGCAGAGGCTGCGGGCAGCTTCGCAACCCAGAGCTCAACCGCTGTGCCACCGGGGAGGCCCAGCGCAATGGCTTTTCATTGGATTTTCTGTACTTTCCCCTTGAAGTTTAATCGTTGTTCATATTAGACTGAATCAAAGACAGTCCACTGCCATACAAACATTCAGATCAGGGAAAGCAAGTATGAATAAGGAAAATATTTCATATTTTTTATTCTCCAAAGTTTAGTAGCCTTATACATTCCTTTATTCAGCAAATATTTATGACATTTATTTGGAGTTGAGGCAACATCAAGAGATATTTGGCATCTTAGTCAACCTGGTATTCCCTTTCTTTGTTTATAAGTATACAAATGTGGGGCCCCCTTGGTGGCTCAAGGGGTTAAGTCTCAGCACTCTGAAGCTATCAACAGCCACTGCAGCTGATCCCCATCCAGGGAGATGTTTCCACAGCAGACCTCTCCTCAGCAGTGTATTTCAGTTAATCTGCCTGTTCTGTTCCCCACTCTGTTTCTGGCAAATCCTCCCCCACATACCTCTGGCCTACACCCCAGTTCTTGTATGCATAAACAAATAAAATAATCTTTTAAAAAAGGTATACATGCTGACTAGAGAGAAATAACACACAGTATTTAAAATTTTTTTTTTTAAAGATTAATTTATTTACACAAGCACTGGGTACAGTCAGAAGTGCAGGAGAGTGAGAGAATTCACCAGAGCCAGAGCGGAGAGCAGAACAGGCAGAGTGACGAAATACACTGCTGAGGGCACGGCAGGAGAGGTCTGCGCACCATGTGGGACCCTCACCTGGAGTCTGGGGGTTGAACTGGCGCTGCAGAGACTGCGGGCAGCTTCACAGCCCAGCACTCAACCCCTGCGCCACCAGGGGAGGCCCAAAATACACACAGTATTAAGTTACACTTCAAGATGATGAATAATTGTCAATACAAATAGTACAGGCAGTAAGTCCTGTCTATCAGAGGAGAATAAGAGCATTGTAGATATACATGGTGAGAAAAGAAAGTTGGAGGAAATGGAACTTGAAATTGCCTTTGAAATGTGGTTTGGGGTCCTGAAGAATGAAGGGGGGAGAATATGTTAATATTTTCATAATAAAGAATAAATATGACATTGATTTTGATAGAAAGGAAATTAGTTTGTGTAGGGATGTTTGGTATTATGGGAAATTGTGAGGTACCCATTAATAATTGTGTAATGTTTTCAAACTTTTGTTCATTGGGGTCCAAAGGAGTTGTTTCAAACATTTTCATTTTAGTAATTCTCCTTTCCCATGAGCTTTTAGTGCCACAGATATGCTTAATATTTGTTTATGTAGGGTGCTTCGTTGTAGGAGCACAAGCTGTGTTCAGATTTATTTCACCCCTCCTACCCAGTATCCCATCGTCGCCCCCTTGTGGATGTTATTATCACTTGCGAATGCATGCTATAATGGGGCTAATATATGAAGGAACTTAAATGTGAAACTGAAGAATATATACCTTATCCTTCAAGATTTCATTTCTTTTTATAATTTTGCATTTCTTTCTTTATAGTTGGGGTGATCTTTAGTATAGTTTATACATAGAACATGGGGGTCCATGTTAATTTTCTTTAAACTATACCTGCCTATATGGAATTTGGTTGCTTGTGTAGTGAGGGGGTGTGTGTACAAATGGCAGGGTTTGGGTTAGAGGAAGAATTTTGTGGTAGGTTTAAGGTGGTCGCTTTGCCCTAAGGGGAAGCATTACTGATCTAGGTTCCTGTGTTTCTCAGGACCAGGTACTATACCATCTACAGACAGACATACAGCATAGAGCAGCAGACCTTCTACAGGTGCTGCCCTGGTTGGAGCCGGCGGGCAGAAGAGCCTGGCTGCCTGCACTGTAAGTTATAATTCTTTCTGTCTAACTCTCTGTCACTAGAACTAATGACTTTGCTGTGTTTGGGACTTCAGTCATATCATGCCTGCCAAGTTTTAGCTGTCATTAGAATTACCTAGGATTCAAAGCATCTCTCTGGACTGAAAATTCACACATGACATGTTAAAAAATGCATAAAAAGCCTTTCTGTTAAGTGTTTCTAATGATAGGTCAACATTCAGGACCATAGAACTGCTGCTTTATATTTTGTCTCTTTTTTTAAAAAAAGACCATTTATTTAAAGCCAGGCACGTTACACCTTGACTTCCATCCCCCTTTCCTGTTTGCCCCTTCCGTATCATCAAGTTTGTAATACACAGTTGATTCAAAAGTCTGGAGGGAAATCACTATACTAAATCTAAATGCGATTTCTCAACTTGTGCTTGTCATGATTAATTGCAGAACTCTGGAGGCCATTTACTTTTTAAGATGAGGTCTGCAGTCTTTTTACAAACCTCTGATGAGGGCATTCCAGAATCTTTGGAATATGTTTGACAGGTTTCAAGTAGCAGATGTAGTGGCATTATATAGTTCATACATGCCAGGAGAAATGGCTCCATTTAGTAACTCCTTTACCTGTGTGTTTATGGTTATTACCAAGTTACTTAAAATGCTTCGGTGTGTTGCAATCAATGCAGCGCCACAACACAATTCATCTCTCTTGCTACCCCATACCTTGAGGGGTTTGACTGCAGTCTGCCTCCTTCCCCAGTGTGCTTACTGTTCTCAGACTATCTCAGTGATGTTGCCTGAGGCTTCCCATGTTAAGCAGACATTGTCTTCAGTGGCATCAGGGTCACTGTGTATTTGCAGGCAATGCTGGGCCACTGAAGCTGTCTAGTCTTAGCTCAATGAAAACATCTGATCTCGGACCTCCCTTGGTGGTGCAGTGGTTAAAAGCTGGGCTGCGAAGCTGCCCACAGCCTCTGCAGTGCCGGTTCGATCCCCGGCCCCCAGCGAGGGTCCCACATGGTGCGCCTGCTGCTCCCCTCAGCAGTGTATTTCGTCAGTCTGCCTGTTTTGTTCCCCGCCCTGGCTCTGGTGAATTCTCTCACCCTCCCATGCTTCTGACTGTACCCAGTGCTTGTATAAATAAATAAATCTTTAAAAAAACCCAAAAAACATCTGGTCTTGATCTTGTTTCACCTACCTTATGAACACCTGAGAAATAAAGAACAGGAGATGAATTCTTTATATTGTATGACTCCTATCAGTCTTTGCCTCTGGTAAATATTAGTGTTTCTTGCTTGATTTTAGATTGTTTTGGCCACCTTATGATCACCTTATCCAGGGAGTTCTTTTATGTTAGTGTTACTCAAACTTGAATGTAAACACACATCACCTAGTATCTTGTTAAAATGTGGATTCTAATTTGTAGGTCTGGGGTGGGGGCTGAGATTCTGTATTTTAACAAGCTTCCAGGTGATGCAGATTCTTCTGCATAGAGTTCTACAAGGTTTTAGAGAACAAGGCCTTCACTTATAATGACAGCATGGTTTAACCTTGCTATGGAGGACTGATGGAAATTTCTAGATTGTATTTACATTAGTTGTGTGCTTACATTGAGGATTTCCTTTCTTTTCCTCAACTCTGTTCTCCCACCTTCTTCCTTTCAGCTGTCTCAGCAATGGAACCTTGTTTCAATGGAAGAAGGTGCTTGAATGGTGAAGCCCAGCAGTGCAAGTGCTCAGAGGGTTTCCAGGGACCTCACTGTCAATACGGTGAGTCACTAACAAGAACGTTTTATTCTGATTTGGAACTGTCTGCTTTGCTTTTAGGGGGCAGTCAATTTTGTCGATTCAGACTAATGTCAGGTTTATTCCTCTATGGATTTATGAGCTTTTAAAATGGGCTGCTAAGCACAAGTCTACAATCTAAAGTGTACTGAGCATTGTGAAAATATGCTTGTAGTTTAGTTGTAATTATTCACTACAAGAGTTCAAATGGCATTCCTACAAAGTGGTCTATTTTGTAAGGAAATAGCAGCTTAATAAGAGAACTTTATTCTCACTTCAGACGTTAACTCGTCAATGACGCCGTGGTCTGAAATTGCTGGTATAGTTGTCTTCTTTGAAATCTTTATGGTTTGTGAATGATCAAAGTGGGAATTAATAGCATAATTTTTTATGATGTGATATTTACTACTTTCATGCCATTTATTAAAAATAAATTTAAAAATCCCAACATTTGTGTGATTCTCAGTTTCAAATCTCAATCTTGTTGGAACTTTATTGACTGTTAGTTTTGGACCTGTGCATTTAAGATGTACGTTGCACAGAGGTTTTAGAATGATTATCCTTTAATACATCTTCCATAAGATCAGGTGCTTTCAAAGGATTTGTTTTAACTTGATCATCTCATGCTAGTTTCCACAGATGATGCACAGATCTGCATTTATCTTTTTAGAGTGGGAAAAATGAAACACCCTCTATCTTAGAGAGTTTAAAGAAATGTGTGTAAAAAGCTAATGAAAAAATAATTTATTCTTTTTCTTCTGCTGTTATGTTTACTCTCTTTTAACCATTACCTGAATCTTTGTAAGTGAAATTGCAAGCAGCCGAGAGCTCATCACTCATGTCCATATGTCTTCCTGCCCTCGGCACAGTTTAAGTTTAATATTTTTCATGGGTCACCTCAAAGCTATTCTTCTTGTAAGTAAATTAATCCTGATAATACTTTTTTTTGGGGGGGGTTGTTTGACTTTAAAAAAAAGCAAACAAATTTTGAATTAAAATACAGTTGATTTCTCACACCAATGTATTCCGTGACTAAGGTTCACTGATCTGAAACAGAGGTCAGTGTGCATTATGAGCTCTGGGGTGTATCTTCAGTTGTTTCCATTAGTTTAAAAAGCAAATAGAAATTACACATTATTCCATAATAAGAAATTATTTGCCACTGAATAAATTGTTTCTAATACATGGGCAACTCTGGGTTTCCTCATCTTGATCAGTAGCTGTGATCGGCAATTACACATGTCATTGATTTATTAAGAGTTAAAAAAATAATAATTATATTTTACTTTATTAATTCATCTGTTTGGTAGAACAAATCTTGCAAAGCATCAAGTCCCTTAGGGGAAAGGTAATTAAAAAGACATATGATAATGATACTGGCCTTGAATTTGTACCTGGATTAATTTATTCTTTATTATCTGTAACAGTACTTGAATCTTTTGATTATGCCAACTTCCTAACAACTTTTATTTACCAAAGCAATTACAATGCTTTCTGAAATATAAGCAGCTAGATATTTTATTTTTCAATTTTGGGTTGTTGAAAATGTAGAAATATTTTAAATAAAAGCAGAGTTGTTGTGTCTTTTCCACAAGCTCTTTTATATACCAAAGAGTTCCATCACCATGTGAGATAACCAACTATACAAAACACCTTTCAGGAGGCTGCATTGCATTGTTCAGCATGATTGTTCTGGTGTGTTATCCTCAGATTGTGATAACTTTCCATCTCTCACTGTAGAAATCCTGTTGAATTGAAAAAGGAACACTGATAAATTCTGAGGCATATACAAGCTAAAGTAGGAGTTCAAGTCTCCTACACAGTGTTATATTTCATCTAGCAAATGAGCTTTCACAAAGTATATAAATTTAGGAGAGATTTTATGGAAGATTTTGAAGATTTCCTAGGAAATCAAACATTTGGGCAAACAGGGATTCACCCAGTTAGTAAGAAAGGTCATTAGCTGGGTCTTGAATGTGGATTGAAAATTAAAATCATCAAATATTGTCTTTTTTAAAAAGAATATGAATGATAGGTCACCTACTCTGTCAAGTGGTTGATTATAGCTTGGCGGCGCTACCTATAACCTCTCTTTATCTAGTAGGTAGATTCCAGTTCTTATGTATGAGTACATAGTTACTGACAGCTGACCCATTCTCTCTGTCTTTCTTTGTTTCTCCCTCTCTCTCTTTCCTTTCTCTCAATATCACCATGAAAAGAGGGAGCGGTCACAATGAAAATAAGTTTGATATTTTTCAAATGATATAAGCTATAATTCAAGTGATAAAAATTCAATTTAAAAATCAATATAAATAATTAGCAGAGTATGCAATTCAAGAGTATAAAAGCTTATAGTTCTGTTGCCCTCAGTATGTGAGGATACTCTTTTCTATTTCTTCATAGTCGTATGCACTATATAATTTTGCATAAATCAATTTAGAGTCTCTACATTGTTTTATAGTGAATACCTCTCCTTTTTATCTTCCTCCTCCCTTCTGCCTCTCTTCTAACCCCTTCAACTTCCTCTCCCCTCCACAGTAACAACCACCTACTGAATACTCATTTATATTTTTTCTCCGTGCTCATGTATTCACATAAAAATAGCTGCTTAATCACCCATGATGTTGATGTACCATAAATTTTAAGCCACACTTTTATGGATGGACATTCATTTTGTTCCACTATTTTTGCCACAACAGTCAGTATTGAGATACATGATGTTTTTATTTCTGTGACACAGATACCAGCAGTGGGATTGTTGTAGCTAGGAATATGTGCATTTTTAACTTTAATACACTTTAAGTTAAAAATATTCATCTAAATTATTTGGAAAATGTGTTTTGGGCCCTGGTTATGACTTTACCAGTTTACTTGGTTGGGATGAATTAAAATCTAGGTATATGCTACTAACATATTTTTTGACTTGTTAATAGGGAATTACTTGCATCTTCATCCCAAACTCGAAATGTAATAAGGAAGCTAGGATTAGGGTTATTGTAAACATGGATTCCTCTTAGCATAGGGTAAATATGCTAAGATTTGGGATGTATGAGAAGAAAGAAGTCTTTTAAATGAACCAGATGGCCTTTTAAAATGGAGTAAAGAATTTAGTCCTCGAGAGAGAAGGGGCATGCTAATAACTGAGAGATACGCTTGGAGTTAATAATGATTCTAAAATTGCTCATCTACTTAACTCATTTGAAAAATATCTCTCTAATAAGAAAAAAAATGAAGAAAATGAATTTGGACAATTAGGAAGTAATGAAGAGCTTTCTAAAATAGCTATTGATTAAAGGAATCAAAGGGAATACTTTGAAGATTTGAACACATGCAAATCAATCTAGATAGCTGGTGGTGAAATTTTCTCTTTTTTAATTCTATGGATCTAGGCAGAAACTTGGAGCTTCATTAGCTGATTAATATCATATACAAAGTTACAACATTTCTTCTTATCACTGATTTCATCTTCCCTTTCTCTGGTCTCAAGTCAAATTAGATTATATAATGAGCTTAATAGTTGGATGATAATTTGGATGAGATCTTTTTGTCTCTTTTATTCATCTATTGTATTCATCCAGTCAGTCATTCTTCTGGTACTCTTCCAGTTGGTCAGTAAATATTTATACACCTTTGTGTGTGTGTGTATTGTAGATACTGAAAAAAATGTAGTATCCTTAGTGTGGTGGAGATGAGAGACCAGGAATTCTTTGAAAACAATGTAGCTCACAAGTGCTATTATGATATAGGAAGATTCTGTCCTGAAGAAAAACAGGACAGGGCCCATCAGTGTCATATGAGGAGATAATGAAGCGTTTCTCAGATGGTTTGAAAATACAAAATGCAACTTATTCTTAAACATCAACAGAATAATACTGTGAAGTTGGTCAAGGATTGGGATATTTCCCAGAGACATGAAAGGCACAGAAAATTCAAGGGATAATAATAATGATAATGATAATAATAATATAAGTAGTTTTCTTGGTTGCATTAAGAAATACACATGAGGCATGGAAAAGTATAGCTTTGCTTATGTCTAAGGCACTAGGGCCTTAGTTTTTCTTGGTCCAGCAAACAAGCTATTCCAGAACCTCACCTAGAAGTGGTAATTGGTAGGTTTTTAATAGGAGTTGACCTTTATTTCTTTGTGTGGTCAATCTAACAGTTGGGATTTCTTGAGAATACATCAGTACTGCTCAGTACTCTATACTTATGCCAGCATTCTCAAATATTTCCATGACTTCAAAGTATATATTTATAGACATTAAATGAAATGCTGCTGGAATACTTTCTGGTAACATGGAAAATCCTTAGAAGTTTTGGGAAGGGAAAGGATAGGTCTCGTCACTGACCACTTGCATTATTTTGGAGAAAGTCATTTTGTATGATCCTCAGTGCCATCAATTTTAAAATAATAATAATAGCTCCAATTTTCCTAAGCACCAACCAAGTACTAGGCACTACTCTAAACAATGTATATGGATTAAATTATTAATCCTTTCAAGTCTATGAGTTGAATACTCTCATTTGCCCTACTTTTATAACTGATTGAAGCATGCCAACATGTCCATGGACAAATAACTAAGTAAAGACTCTGAAGCCTGCAAACAGCTTTTAAATCATGGTCCCTTGTAATAATACTTGACATAATTATCTGTCTGCTAGGTTGTTATCTGTGAGTCATATGAGATCATGCATGTAAGTTTGATAGCCTTATTTATGCATTCCTTCATTTTGTCATCTGCAGATTCTCTGAGAACACTTAGGGGAAGTGTACAGAGTAAAAGGGGAAAGGCTCTACTATTGCTTTGCTTCTTTCTTCTGTGGGAAATATAAGCACACTTGACTGTTGTGTCAAAGGTATGATTTTGAATCAATCAGTATGTTCTAGTCAAGGAATCTAGCAGGTTCTTCGCATATATATGTTCTATAGGGATGGAAGGTTGGAACTAAGGATTTTCTTAATAGTAGCATGTGCCCAAGAGCAA